GTAGCCCCGGCTCCAACACTCCAGGTTAATGTTTAACATGTCAGGATTTATAATAAAATCAGTGAAACTGACTGCTCAGATATTTATTGTATATATCCTCTATGCATCTTCTTCAGGTACTTCTAACCCCCCCAACCCCCCCCCCGGATGCAGAGAAAAAAATTAAACAAAATAACAGAAGATAAACTTCACAGAAATTAACAGGAATGAAGCAGAATTTAACAGGAACAGGACTTCTGCAACCACAATGAACTCTAATGCTTTTGACAGCGAGTAATATAAGTGGCCATAGCCATGGTCCAATAGATAACTGGTGTATGGACGATAAATTCTGAATGCCAGTTCCACATGTTTTCCAAAGCAGCTGAGGTTATTGTATATCCAGCATGTGCCTGGCACTGTGCTGGGTTGTTGTGAAGTTGAGTATCTGAATTCCCCTGACCCAGAGGAGAAGACTGAAGTACAGAAGTGCTCCTGATTCACCTTAGTGCAACCTGTGGCAGAGAACTGAAATGACTACACGGCTTTCATCTCAGAATTAAAGAGCTCTGTCACTTTTGAATAGATTAGCTTTTGTGCAGTAGTCTGACGTGCTATAGATGAGTGCTTTCACGCTCATGAGCTTGAACTTCATTACAGGAAAAAATACACTCCAGCTTTCTCCTATTCAGAAAGACTAGAGAGACTGACTTACTAGTGAGGGCCAGGAAAGAAGGTAAGACTATACAAAGAGGGACAGCCAATCACCACTTTCCCTAAGAAAATAGAAATTGGTTCTATTGAATCATGGTTTTCTTGGATACTTGGCAAATAATTTTCTCGAAAACAATTGTGTAATGAAATTAAGGATGGAAAGACAAAAATATTTTCCATGTAAGAATGAAATGTTTGGCTTTCTCCACTTCTTGAAGAAGAAGAAAATAAAATATTGAGGACAGGAATGCTGGGACAAACTACAGTGAGAAAGGTGAATTGATGCTCTTTACTTTCATTGACAAAAAAGTATGTACAGAAAGAAAATATCAAAATATGACAGGGGCTGCAGAGATGGCTCATTGGTTCCAGAGGACGAATATTCAATTCCTAGCACCCAAGTGGCATAACCCAACTCTGTATAACTACATTCCCAGTAAATTCAAATGCCTCTTCTGGTCCATGGGCACAAGACATGCGTGTTTGTGGTGTACAGACACACATCCAAGGCAAAAATAACACTCAAATAAATAATGAAATGTTTTAAAGGGATGACAGAACTGAAAAAGGAGGCGTAAGTATAAATCACTACCAGAATACAAAAGTAAGATTTTTATTGGTTACAAAAAGTAACTGGCAAGTGGTAAGAATGGCACCTGCGTTCCAGGGCCATAGACATGTGTTCCTTCTGGTTGCTGCCTGCCAGGCCATTGCCATCCAAGGGTGGATTTACATGTTATGGTGCTGGCATGGTGGAATCAACTAACATCAAGCCATTTAAAATAGAATTGTGCGGGATTCAGAGGACAGCTTAATGAAGGTAATAGTTTGACCCTGAGCATGGCAAATGCAAACTAAACTTAGCTATTTTATAGCAAATGTATTTCATTTGAAATCACGTCTTTTTATATATTCTAGTATCTTCTGTATACTCCATTTTAGGGAAGCGTGATACTGACATATCTTGAGCTGACTTGCATTCTGCACACTGGTGGAAAGGCTACATTTACAAAACAGTGTGTTCTTTTTCACTCAGCAGCCGTTCAGTGGTTCTCTCTCCATCATGGGCATGTCATGATTCTATACAAAACTTGTAAATCAAATATATGGTCACAAAAATTTTCTATAAAATATAATTAATGAGTCATCAAAAGGTTTTTTTCGAGGGAAACTGTTTTACTTCTCTATGTAAAACACATTTTCGACTGTTTGAGCAAGGTTACACACATGGTTCAAGCTTCCATTTGTAGGAGGCATTTTTATTTTTTATTTTTAGTTTTTGAGACAGGGCTTTGCTTTGTAGACAAGGCTGGCCTTGAAGTGATCCACCTGCCTCTGCATCCCTGAGTGCTGGGATTGAAGGCATGGGCTGCCATGTCTGGCTTGTAGGAAGCATTTTTAACTTAAGGCTGCTGTGAGTCTCTGCTTCTACTCCTATCCCCTGCTGTGTAGAGACTTTCAGAGGATATCTGTGATAGGCTACTGTCATGTTCCCTCTCCTCAACCATTTCCATTGTCTATTCTATTTTCATCCTTCCTAGGGTCCTCCTTGTTATTTAGCTTCTTTAGGTCTGTGGATTATAGTATGGTTATCTAGTATTATATGACTAATATCTGCTTATAAGAAAGTATATACCATGCATGTATTTTTGGTTCTGGATACCTCACTCAGGATGATCTTTTTTTAGTTCCATCCATTTGCCTGTAAATTTCATGATTTCCTTGTTTTTATTAGCAGAGTAGTATTCCACTGTGTAAATGTACTACAGTTTTCTTTATCCATTCTTTGGTTGAGGGACATCTAGATTGTTTCCAGATTCTGGCTACTATGAATAAAGTTGCCATGAACATAGGAGGGAGTATTTTAGAAGAGTTGGGAGATAGAAGGACCTGGAGGTAACAAGTGCCACAAGAAGACCATCAAAACCAACAAATCTGGGCCCAGAGGGTCCTGTAGAGACTGATGCAGCAATCAAGGACCATTCATGGAGAGGACCTAGACACCCACCTTGCTCAGATGTAGCCCATAGGCAGCTCAGTTACCATGTGGGTTCCCTCATAAGGGAAGCAGGGTTTATCGCTCACCTCAACATGCTTGCCTGCTCTTTGATAGGTTTTGCCTCTTGACACAGCCTTGTCAGACCACAGAGGAAGAGGATCCAGGCAGTCCTGATGAGACTTCATAGGTTAGGGTCAAAAAGTAGGAGAGGAGGGCTCCACTTTTCTGTGGACTATGGGAGGGTGAAAAAGGGGGAAGAGGGAGGGAGGTTAGAAACAGAAGGAGAGGAGGGAAGGATTTAATTGGATTTAAAAGTGAATAAATTACATGAAAAAAAGACTGCTGAAGTGGGTGGTACTTACCAGGGGCCTGGAATTTTACTAGGCAATGGACAGGCTGAAAGAATTTGTAGAATACATGGAAGATTTCAAAGGTGTCTAAGTGTAAGAAAGAAACAACTCCATGAAAATTTAACATAACAATGATTAGAAGGCAACAATGGCTGTTAAACTTCCAATTCATGGAGTTGAACAGACTCTAATACTGTTATGTATAAATAGGGAGAGATTACCCCAATATGAAAGTTTATAAATCACTGAAGTTATAAGGTATAACACCTTTCCCAGGGAAATATCAATGTGCCCGTCTAGACACAGGAATTAATATTGACATCCAGTGAAAGCCTGCAAAACTGTCATCAAAAACTATTAAGACTAATATTTTATCCTAAGGTCAACCTTAGGCTATTCAGTTTGCTGAAGAGTCTATGTAGTCCTTGTAGAAGCTAAATTCTGACCCCAGTATCTACAACATTGGGATTATGGACTAAACACTGAGCTTCTCTTGAAGTTCAGTTCTAAAATTTGAAAAGTTACTGAGAATAAACCTACATGGATATCTTAAAGACACAATGGGGAGACAAAAAGAAGATACAGACAGAGAGGGAGAACTTATTTCCTTGTGTTCATCACAGTTTTCACAAATACTTATTAAATTTGATTCCTTTTCCAGTTGTTAACAGAAAGTTAAGAGGTTGCATGTGTACACTGCAAATACAATTTAAATCTCTTGTTGTGAATTTACAACTTAATCCTAACTGAACCCCCATTTGTCAATATGCTATCTCTTTGTAACAATTTATGAGACTTTATGACTAATGTATCATCTTCCTTCCTCACAGGTAGATATATCTCTTTTATTACTCTGGGCACACTGTTATTGTAGTGAAATGATATATAGAATATACTAGATTGTCTTAGAAAAAGAATATAGGATATGATCTTTGAGATTCTTAATACCAAGAGAATACTCTGAATTTAAAAGAGTAGAACATAACATAGTCCTGTAAACAGTAGGTCAGGAAGTAGATTTGTTGGGTGCACAGATTTCCATTGGGTAAAAAATAAACTTGATTTATCCAAGTTTTCCTTGTAGTCTTCTAATGTCTCTCAAGTCACCCAATAGCCCAGAACAGTGAATGAAGAATTTAATAAATTCTACTAAATGAATGGTTCATATTGGCTAACAGCCTACTTATGGTAAAGTCTGTAATTCTTGTCAAAAATAATCAAGATTGTCAATTTCAGTATTTTATGTATAGTCTTCACAAAGTAATATGAATTGCCAACTAAAACTGGTTTTCACCATTCGCTATCCAGTTGATGTCCTGGATTAGTAATGTTGGTTAAGTGATAAGAATAATTTTATTTCTTGAGTCACTCAGCCCCTGCCAAATACATCAGTGGTGAAATGGTCAAGTGTTAAAGAAAGGGCTTCTGTAAAGTCCTTTAAGACTAATTAGAATCAAATCCGAGTTATAGGAGTAGACAACCTATTTTGAGTGTCCATCAAAACATACAGATGACTAGGCAGTGAAACTATACTTTAATAAAAGGGTCAAGAATTCCCAAAGTTAACATTAAAAGAAAAAAATAATCGTGTATATTGTGAAAGAGAAATGAAAGTCTTCTGTGATTATGTACATATTAGTTCCATGTGTTTATTTATATTTCTCAAATACAGAATCCTGTGCTTTCTGTAGTGGTATGTGTATAAGATCATTTTCTGAAAATATTTCAGTGGGGGAAAAGTAAGAAACATTAGACTACCACAATCTAAAAGAACCTCTTAATGCTAAAAGGACCACTATCTAAAGATAGAGATTGCTTTTATATGAACACTCCATGACTACTTCATCTCTGCCATCTTTGTTGTACAAAATGGGTTTCTTACTTCTTCATTTACATTGCAGCACAAGAACTGGTTATACTCCAGTGAACTCACTCAGATAAACACAACAGGTTTTCTTTTAAAATAAGCCTTTACTGAATATATCAACATGGTACTGTATAGTGTAGAGTGAAGTTTGTAGTTAACAAAGTGTGCAACATGGTAGGTCTCAGAGGATGCATGACACAGAATCTCCAACCCCTTGCAGTCCCTTGTCAGAGAAACACACTAAACACAAACCAGAATCAACTCAACATGATTCAAACAGTAACAGATCATCAAAGTTAACGTTCAGTAAATACTATATTATGAGGGCATACAGTGGTGAGGCCTCATTTTGCTATAACTGGTTACAAATCTCACATCTCACAGACATCTTTACAAACACCCTCATGTATGTGTATGGATGGATTTGTATGTTTCATATTAATTTAAAAATGCCTGTTGCAATGCCTTGGTTTGTGCTCTTCTGGTGGATGTGCAGATAGAAAAGCAAATACTATAACAAAACAACCTGGTTTGCTAAAACAGTATTATACTGTGTACAAAACGTTTTCGCCACAATCAGTGAAAAGCATCCCCATTGCCAACAATTTCTTTAACTCTCTGATGAGCCTGAAAAGGGGTGTAAATGCAGCCTCCTATCATCCTTTATTTTAATTTTAAAAAGAAAAGAAGCAAAGTTTGCCAAGACTAAGAATTGGGAGTTGTTGTTTTGTGTGTATATCATTTTCGTATTGGGCACTCTTCTGTTTTGCTTTCCCGTTCAGTTATGTGTTATCCTCAAGTTATAAAGCAACATCTAACATCTTTTTTTTGATAGGTCAGAGATAAATGCTATGAACAAAGACATCATGCACTGTCAAAAGCTGCAGGCAAAGCTGCAGCTGAAGTTTGCTGATCCAGTGTGGCACACCGGCCTCTGCAGAAAACAAAGGTGCCTTCTGTTTGGAATGGATGTTCCCCTCACATGAAGAGTTAAGTTTTCTCCAGGGGAGAAGGAAGTTATGGCTGTGTGGCATGACTAAGACCATTATGACCTCCATTATTAAGAAACAAAAATATAATATGAGCTATGCCATTGATATTTTTTAATCAAAGAGATGACATTATAGTTTTGTTTTTTGTTTTTGTTTTTTTTTTTTACTCTTGAAATTGTCTAATGTTGTATCAGTAAACATCTGGAAAATTACAAATAGCATTACATCTCACAAGGGAAGATTTTTCCACTTAGATCATAAATAAGCAGGGAATACTCTTCTCATGCCTGTCTGTGGTTGTCCCATGTATTGTACTGCCCACCCAAGGCATGTGACAGTGTTTAAGTGAAACCCAGGATCTCTAAGGTCAAGTACATCTCTGCAAGCAAGGAGGTATTGGTGACTACCTTCTGTTTAACTAACAATATCATCTGTGTGACCATGCTTTGCTTTTCCTTTTGCAATAACCTCTGTGCAGGTAAAGTTACTGTACAGGCAAGGGCTGGACATTATATAGGAACAGCTCAACTTGGATTCTTCACTAATCACCTCGAAATAAATAATAATGAGGCCAAGAAGGATAAAACCCAGAGGAGATGTAGCTGCAGAATACAGTCTCCTGATTAAAGATGGCAGCCAAAATGTTAACCAGTAAGGATTGCTGTTCATCTGTCTTTTTAAAATTCCGTAAGTTACTATAGTATGATGTGATTTCCACTCTGATGTAGGAGAGTCTCTTGGGCACACTACTATCAATAGGAGTCTGATTTTCATGGTGGATGTATTTGCCATGTTGCTCATGAGATCAAAATAAAGATTCTCTTTCCAGAAATACCTTCTACCAGAGTAATTTTGAGAGCACCCTAACATTTCCCATGACTGGTACTCCATAGTGCTACTTAAATTCTCAATAGTGTTGTGGGTGCCACAAAATACTATGAGAACCTCTCTGCTCTTGTTCCTTTGGGGACAAAGATAGGGCATTTCTACAGCCCCAAATCCCAATGGGAGTTAAACATACAATAAAAAAAAGACAAAAGTAATTATCTTGTTTATAACAAAATAAAAATCCTCAAAAATCAAAGTACCATTGTATCTTCCAGCACACAGTTTTACCTACACATTGAGATGCAAGAGGACGGTGAAAGGAAACTGCCAGCCCCGTGTCACTGTCCTGATTTTAGATAGTGTAACGCTGTACTGATCACCGTTCCAGATGGTCTTATCCCTTCACTGTGTGAACCTACTTTTACAGAAACCAACAGCCCAAACCCTCTAGCTAATAGACTAAAGTGGAAACCCGAGTCATTTTAGAATTAATTAAATTAATTCGTAACTATGTTCAGCTCCACTGACTGCACAGTTTCAATGCTTGTGTCTACATTTTTCGCTGCAGTTATATTTTCTGCTTATTCTGGGGGATGAGGGAGATTAAAACATATAAGTTGGGGTATATTATTAAAGAAAATAAAGCTCTCACTATAAAGAAAAGCTTGCATAGCATTTTATACCTAAACTTTACAAGAAGACACATCACAGTTTTATTTTGCTTAGAGAGAAAGAGAAAGCAAGAAGAGTATGACATTTACTTCATGAGTCTCTAAAGTGATGGATGGTTTAAAGGAGCACAGAATGAAATGTCTAAAAGTGGCTTTGAAATAAACAATTCCCCAAGGGTAAACCTCTCTAGACAATGTATGTGGTCTATAGCCCTTCTACACCTAAGTGATGGCAAGAACTAGGGTAAATTATGCATGTTTTTTGAAAATGGACTTGCTTCAAAACTACCTAGCATAAACCATGGCTATCCCTCTCTTCCTCTGCTTTTGGACCTTCTCTGCCATGATTTGGGAAAACTTTCAGTCACTGTCTTCCTCATTTTCACTAGTAGTCTTTTGGCATAAGATTGATTATCACTCTATAATTACCAAGTTAGAGGAACATTCACAATCTAAAAGGAACAAATGGAATTTCCATGTGGAACAGGATCGAAGTTAATTCAAAATGAAAACATAGTATTGCTTTTAACAATACGCTTTGTTTTGGCCAGTTTGGGTGTCTTCACAAAATCATTGGCAATGAATATTATTATGGATTTTAATACGTAGAAATAGACAATGATTATTTTGTGCAACCAAAATTTGCATTCATAATTTTCTTTGAAATATCAGTCAGAGGGGAGAAAACAAATGTGGCATATACAACTTAATTACAAAAAAATATGTGCAAGATGATTGGAAGACAAGAATTTGAGAGAGAACATAGGTATTAATTCAAGCTATTTCAACATGATACTAACAAAGTTCAGTTGATGCAGTGTAAGAGAACCACTGATTTTTTCTAAATGTCATTAGCACTTTTTAAATAAACACATTACTGTAATAGATCCCAAACACTGCTCCTTTGTTGGCGTAAATATCATGTTGATATAGCCTAAGTGAATATACCCAAATAATTTTCATTATCAAAAATAATTCCATTCAATATAATTCTTCCCATTATTTTTTTTATTAGCCTCTTCTAAAAAATTATTCTAGAATATAACTCTGTTGGATATGATTCTCCTGACATGTGATTTAAATAGTGACAGTTTTAAGGGGAATTTTTCTTGCTAGAACTGGTCATATTGGTCCCTGAAGATGACTAGAATCAGACTCAGGTTTCCAACTCTGTTATCACATAAGGCCAGGGAAGCATGAAGAGTGATTTTGAAGTTCACAGTCAGAAGCCGACCCTGGGGCTTTAAGGACATTTCAAACCTCTCCGTTTCCTTGATTTGGACAAGTAGGCCTAACTCATCTCATGGGAACTGGCTTCTTCAAGATGTTCTCTCTATTTCTTGCACTCAGTCAAACTGGAGTAACTAACTCTATTATCATATTATGGATTTTTCAAAATGTGTTTCTTCCAGGCCAGGAGGTATAAGAAAACAGAAATAACTAGGCCATTCTTTCTTTACTCAAACTATCTCTCTTATCCTGATGAGCCCATCTCAAACTATTCTTTTCTATGACTATCAGCTCTAGAAAAGGAATTTATTCTGACAGCCTCAATAGCAAAGTGGTTAATATGCATCTTAAGGATGAATCACTCATTCTTCTGCCTTGGCGTTGGGTTCTCATTGTACAACCCCGTACAGTACTTCAGCAACATTTATTTTTTTTTTAATTTTAAAAAGCAAAGAGTTACAAAACTGTTTGTAATTAACTTGAAATAGAAAAGATAGCACTTTTTTTTTAAATCCCATTATATAGTACACCGTATAAATTACAGAGTATTCAAATGCACAAATGCATCTGGTTAACATTTATCAAATGTAATCTGCGTGTCTTTATGTGCACACACATGTGTGTTCTTGAGAGTCAGGTTGTCCATCTTTCTGGTGCTGGACCTCTAGGCTGTTACGTATGGCAATGCTCCAGATCTGGCACACTGCTGTTGCAGTATCTCATGTTGTTGGGGATGTGGCAGTCTGTGTAACTAATGCCCCCGTTTGGGGTATAAATGGGCTGCAGTCTGAAATCTCCTTTAAGGAGCTGATCGTTATTTAAGGAGACAATCTGAAAGCTGGTTTCCGTCATCTCCAGGATGGAGTTGTCTTTTTTGGTACCCGCCTCACAATAGTCGTCTTTCCGTCGGCCCCGGTTGTACTTCCACTTCTGGGAGGTGTAGCGTCCCTTTTTGTGCATGTGCCAGCAAAAGACACTGAGCAAGACCACGAGCACAAAAATCACTGCACCCCCGATCAAGCCCGCGAGCAGAAAGGGGGAGCCCATGCTGTGGGAGGTTGTCTGCTCGTGGCTAGAAGCAGTGTTGCTGCCATTGTTCAAATAAGAGGCGTGGGTAGTGGCCTCGGAACAGATGGTGTCTTCCACGGTGCGGTAGTTGAACGCATCCAGTGGCACTAAGCAAATGCGATAGGTGGATCTGGGCTCTAAATTAACCAAACTCAAGTGTTGCTTCTCTCCACTAACAATTCGTTCCTGAACGATGCCCCCTACAAGACTGTGGCCCATTTTCACCCATGTCAGTTTGTATGCCATCACAGTAAAGAGAGACAGCCAGCTGACTTGAATAGAGGTGTCATTAACAAAGTGGATGGAAAGTTGGATCCTTTCAGAAATAGGTGGAGTCACTTTTTCTCTGCCATCCCAGGCAGGGATGGTGGGAAGTTTCGATGGGCTAGGAGCTGGAGGCACAGAGCCTCTGCTGGGGCTTGGAACGAAGAGAGTAGGAGATTGAGTTGGAGAAACTGTAGTTGGAGCTGGGGTGAAGACAGGTAGGCCAGGAGTTGTGGTGGGACAAGACAAAAGATTCATATTCAACTCCCTGACAGCCATCCCCCGGACTTGCTCGGGACCTTGGCACATGAAACCACGCACGTTGAGAGAAGAGGGAATATACTTGAGCCATTCTGTGACCCATTTAATACTGCAGTCACAAAACCAAGGATTATTCCGAGCAGTGAGTTGCTTGAGGTTGGAGAGATGATCGAAGACCCCTTGAGTTAACATTCGTAGTTGGTTATTGGATATATCTAGCCGTTCCAGCTTACGGAGGTTTGAAAAGGCTGTCAATGGGATATGGTTTATCTGGTTGTCTTGCAAGTAGAGCCTGATCAGATGCGTACCTGGGAGGTCAGGAGGTGGGTGGGAGAGCGAGTTACGGACTATGGAAAATTCCTTGAGCTTGGTGAGATGGCTGAAGGTGCCCTCAGCGATGCCCTTGTTTGTTAGGAGATTCCCATCCACAATCAGACGCTCCAAGCTTGTGAGGTTCTGAAACGCCATGTCTGATATGACTGCAATTCGGTTTTCATCCACTCTCAGCTCCTGCAAGTCTACAGGAAGCCCAACAGGCACACTGCTCAGGTGATTCTTTGATAAAAACAACAGCTTGAGGCTGATCGCCTCCCGGAAAGCTCCGTCCTCCACTCCGACCGTAGATATGGAGTTGTCATCCAGATGTAGTTCTTCCAGCTTCAGGAGCTGAGCAAGAGCAGCCCGTGAGATGGTCTGAATGTTGTTCTCCTGCAGATGGAGGACTCTGACATTCTTGGGAAGGTTCATGGGGAATTCATCCAGTTGGTTGCCGTAAAGGTAGACCGTGTGCACGGACTGTACGTTGTGCAGCTCTGCAGGAAATCCAGCATTATTAATTTGGTTGTTGTGGAGGTAGAGTACGGTTACGCCCTCCGGGATCCCAAGAGGCACTGAGGTCAAGCTTCTCTCATTACAGTAGACAAAGTTCCTGTCACAGCGGCACACACTAGGGCAAGCCAGGAGTTCTGATACTTGCGAGTAGAGTCCCAGGGAAATGATGAACCAAATTTTTAGGGAAAAAGCCCTGTGGCCGGGCCACGTTGTAGTCTGCAGGCCCATTTCTGAAGGACAGAAATAAAATACAATGTGATGGTGGTGGGGAGGATTTAAAAACAAAAGCAACAACAAACAATACCAAAAAAACAAAACAAAACAAAACAAAAACCAGAAAGCAAAAGCAAAATGTCTGGACCAGGTTCTGTCACAGTCTAGAACTTCTGTTAAAGAAAGTGACGTGAGGGCAGATGGTAAAACAATCTTTCTGACGTCTTTAGTCTGATCTGCCTATGTTGTCCTTGTGCAGTGGTCCTCCATGTGCAAAACAACTCAACAGGAATAATTTTCCACACAAGCAAAGCTTGATGCCAAGTGATAAGTACTGTCAAAAGAAGTCCAGCCAGGCAGGAAAATCTTGCTTCTTCTATAGTAAGTCAGGCCAGTGTAGAGTAGCCTAGGAATTTCTTGGTCAAGCAGAGCCTGTAATCTGTTGTAGAAAAAAAAAAAAAGACATAGAGTCAGTTAAGTGTAGTAAGAAGTATTGGAATAACGAGGTCGTGGAGTAGGAAAACTGTAACTGGGGCTAAGGACTGGAAGGCAGGTTGGCATCAGGAAATCACATAAGAAATAAGTGATCATACTATGTGAAATCTTCAAAAGGAGACGGGGCTATTACAGCTTATTGGCAAACATCTTAGGCAAATTTCACACCTCAATTACTATTTTCTCTTAATTATCTGCATATCCTGATAGGCAAGTACAACTTACACACTGTCAGATTCATGGTGTCTGTTAGTGAAGATTAGTTGAAAGCTCTATAATTTTAAGATGGAGGTGGGGAAATGTAAGAGAAATGACATGAAGTCCTACAGAATTATCGATTGTGAAAATGCAAAATGGGAACTAAGCTATTTGAAAGTGCATCTTTATTAAGAAATTCTCCAGGATGGATTTTTAAACATAGTTACCATGTTAGTATTTTACAAATGGTAAGAAAACTGAAAATCTGTAAGTTTCTACCTCCTGAAAAATTTATTTTCAAATTATGGTACAAAATCTTGTTCATCCTTAATGGGGAATTCTAGAGAATCCTTATAAAGGACAGAGGAAGGGTAATAAGAGAATAAGGGTATGCAGAGACAAATACTTACTTTTTTGCTGTGAACATACACACACACACACACAAACACACACCACACACACACACACACACACACACACACACACACACACACCAGAGGTGGAATAATTACCTCTCTTGGTGTTAGTTAACATCATAACTACAACTAGCATCATTAAAAATACCACACATTATTTTCTCTGATGAAACATAATTCAAGTATGAAGGCAAAGAAATCTCTTTTCTACCTCTGTCTGACTTTTCACTTTTTCTTCTTGTAGAAAGGCTTAAACTTGTTACCCAGGAGACTGAGCAAACAGCAGTACGAGGATACATTTCCCCTTGTCCCCTCCCTCAGGACCTCTAGGTATCAATGAGATAGAACACTGTGATTATCCTAAGTGTTGCAAACCTGGAAACTGAGAATAAAAGTGTTTCAATGTTACCACCTTCCAGTGTGAGAGATTTTATTTTATTTTATTTTATTTTATTTTATTTTATTTTATTTTGCCTTTACAAAAGAACTTTTAGTAAATATTGAAAGGACAGAAACTATAATTAAGGCAATCAAAAGCAATCCAAGGATACTACTCATGCTTTCTTTGATCCAGTGTGTTACGTCTGTTTTTAGATAGAGAGGAAAGGAGTTAATTGAAAGGTGCCAGATTTGATTTCCCTAAAAAATAAGCTAACATGACAGGACATGGCTGGCTGCAAGTTCCTCAATTCTCACCGACAGAGAGATTGGAACAACTTGTATCCACAGCAGAGGTTCTGTCTGAAACTCTTTTCTCATCTATCTTTAGACTCAGAATTTGCAATTTGGAAATAAAAGGGAGTATTGTATATGTTGTCTACCTGCCAAAGACAGCATTCACTTGTTCTGTAATTTAAAGGAAAAAAATATTAAAAGAGCCTTGAAATACAAAATGATTAGAACATTATCATACTTTATTAGTTATTAAACCTTAGAACTTCTTGGAAACTTTGAAGCAAGGAGGGTGGTTGGAGAACTGGTATGGTCTCTTTTTTTATATAATGCCAAATCATAGTTAAAGAGCAAGTGATTAAGGTTGTAGAGATGGCTAGGTTGGTAAAGCCTTTGCTGAGTTTGGGTCCCCAGAACCTATGTAAAGATCTGGGGCATCATTACACAGCTCTAATCCCAACATGGCAGCAGTAGAGATTTGGAGGATCGTGGGGCTTGCTGTCCTGTCACTGTCAATGAATCACCGAACTTCAAGCTCAGTGAGACTCCCTGTCTTAAGAGATAAGGAGAGTATTTGAAGAAGACCCAGGATGTCAACTTTTGGTGTCTATGCACATACTTAGGTATAACACATGCAAAAGAATATGCACACATGGACAAACACACAAATGTACACATAAACAAATAAGTACACATACATGAAAATTCAGCAATTATAACTAGTTACTGGTGTGCATTGGATCAATGAACCTGGGCCATTTCTTCTAAAAGAAATCTCTTTATGCTTATAGATTATACTAATGAAGTATAGGAAAAGAATGAATATATATTATATTATATTATATTATATTATATTATATTATATTATATTA